AAGCTGCATGTATTTAGTCTGTGCTGCCTGTTCTACGCATGCGTGCCACCTCGTTGGATTCCGCTGTAGACGATCTTTTTTTTCCTTACTTATACGGCTCCGAGATATACGGCTTCCACAAGTTTTGGGCATGATGAAAATATCTTAAATATATTATTCTCCCACGTTGCCGCAACGATATTTTCCATGTCACTTGGCGAAGCTTCATTTGCATAATCATAGTAGATATTACCAGGGCATCTGTTGCTTTATCGCTGTTTACTTTGTTTCCGTATAATGAATAATTTGGCTTTTTTTTACCGTACCCACTGTTTTTCCCTCCTTACACAATATGAACGTCGGTCTTGTAAAATTCATGCCGGCCTACGCCCGGCGTGCGAATAGATCTCAACAGCATAGGAATTTTGCCGGTTATCGGAGCGATTATGGCAGTATACTGTATCCTCTTCAAGATCACTGTATCCTTCTTTCTTTGGTGAATCCGCCTTCTCTCAAGCTACTTTCACTTTTTTATGAACTAATTTTTTAGATTCCTGCAAAAAGTTTTTACCGAAGGAGATGTGCGTGTTCAGCAAAAACTTTTGGACTATTTTCTGCAAAAAGATATATTTGCTCGGTTGTGTGACGATATATTTGCCAATTACTTGCTGCAGGTAATTGCAGCTACAATTTTTGTAACTAATTTTTATGCGTTTCTGCATACCTATGCAAATCCAGAGACGCATACTGTAACGGCACATGATGTCTGTGTGTATGTTTATACATGCGGTGTGTGCTCTGTGCGTCTTTCCGAGTACTTCAGCTAGGCAACTAGGCGAGTTTTGTTGTTGAAAATTTGCCAGTGGTTTCCCTCGATAAGTGCTATCCCACGAACGTGGTGTCAACTTTCAAGCACGTCTATATACAGGCGCGTGAATAATAGGATAAGAATTAAAGCACTGAACTAAGTGCGATTTGCAGGAAGACTTGCTAGTTTTCCCGAGTGATCTCGAATTTCTCCGGACCTTGACTGAATGATATGAATGTAAAATTTACTAATTCTGTATAAATTTGAACGATTTGCTTGATATTTATATGGCTCGTGAGAGAGCTGAATCACCGTCACAACAGTTGCATACGACTGATCGTTCTACTGTTTTCCAGAAACTAGCCTAGCTAAAATTGCAGAATTTCCGCCAACTTTTGTTTCAGCACTTTTTTCAGAAACCTGTGCTGCAGTTGCCGCTGTCCATATTATTCACACGCTTTTTTTCGGCTAGCGATTCATATATACGCACCTAATATGTCTGAAATCACTTCACCCTTTCAAACGCTTTTATTGTCTATTACAGCGCATTAGTGTAAACGCATAAATATGCACAATAACAGAATCCAATATTAAAATTTCTGCGTATTCTGAAGAGTATCCAAAAGAAGGAATTTTAGCACATAATTACAAAGCAAGAAAAATAACAAAGCAGCTGTCGCTACTTTTGCCAGTGGCTTTCAACAGTCATTTTTACAAGGGTGTTGCTAACAAAACGTCACTGGGTTTCAGTGTTTGATGGAAAAAGCGGCAATTCATGAAGAGGTGGCGATTTGCTCGATACTTATGGAAAATGTTGTGGAGCACAGTTGCGGTCGTTACTCATGCCGCATAGTGCAGAAAGTTTTCACCTCCTTCCATCTTAACGCACGCATGGCACTGTTGTCAGCATTGAAAGGGGCCGAGAAGTGTCTCTCGCTGGATCAGTACGGGATCCATGTTATTCAGGTCTCAACCAGTTTTAGCACTAAAAATTTGGAAAATATACGCATAGCGAACAGGAAGCAAAATTTTCATAAGTATAATGAGTCGGGAATTAAATTGCAGCGCTGGAAAAGCCGATTTATTTTTTCTAGCGTTTTTGCACATTTGTGCAAATGCAAAAGCGCATATTGGCAGGAGGCTATAGGTGTGCATACATGTGTATGCGTGTGTTTATTTGTCTGTATACGTGTGTACGGGCAGATTTTTGTCACCCATATTCAAGTCAGCAACTGCAAACGCTAGGAAGCAGAAATTTCATGAGTATGTTCTTATCTCAAATTCGATCCAACATCTCAAAATGAATTTCTCGCACTCTCAGGCCTAGCGCACAGACGCTTAAAAAACACGTAAATTGTCTTCCATATTTTGCTATTTGCACGTGAGCGGTTCTAAAATAAGTTTTGGCACAAGCCTGTGTGGCGCATTTGGACACGCCAAAAATATTTGCAGCGAAAAGCGACTTCGCCAACTAATCAGGCTGGACGGTTGATATTTTGCGAGGGTATTCTCTGTCTATGTGCAGCCCAAATATTTTCAGCTCAGCTTTAAAGCAGGCTTCGCGCGTCCGAGTAAAATTTTAGCTCGGCACACAGTTAATTTGGTAATCAGACTGAGTAGGAAGGTAGTATTTTTGTGAGAATGTTTATTTTTCATGCGGATCAGCATCTGCTAAAGCATGAACCTTGCGCACAGATGCGTCAGATTTTTAGATTGCAACAGCGCAATCACCCAATTCAGCGATCTCTCTGCAAGGAATAATCACGCAAAAACGCGCGATAACACCCGAAAACTTTATGCGCGCCGCTACTGATTTTTTCTTTGTATTTTTATGCGTTTTTTGCAGCAATGCAATGCGAAAAACGCATATTGACGAGAGGTTGTCT